ATGACAAGGCTTTTGACAAGCCCATCTGCGAGGCGCTCTTAAACCAGAAGTTTTTCAATGGAATTGGGAATTACCTCCGTGCTGAGATCCTGTACAGGTAAGGTGGGTTAAGCACCCATTCACCTGCCATGGAGGTTTGGTCTCCAAGAGCTTGCCAGAGCTTGGCTGCTCCTCAGCTAAACTGCATGGGCCTCCTTGCCTGGTAGACACGGGCAAGTGCCAGAACCAAGAGTTCAGGCTTGTGTGTAACAGATGGACTCTCTCAGGTTGAAGATCCCTCCCTTTGAAAAGGCTCGGACTGTGCTGGAGGCTCTGAAGGAGCAGGAGCAGGAGAGGAGGAAGAAGGTGGGGAATACTTGGTGCTTTCACAGACTCAGAAAGGGGCAGGTTTCTAGACAGACACCACACCAGGGATTTATTTGTCTGTGGCCCTGCAGGACATCTCGGCAGCTCCCTAGCATCCGGGGAGCAGCCTCTGAGTCAGGTTTGGGCTCAGCAGCAGTGGAGGTGTTTCAGTTTGCTTCTAGCCCCCCATCTGGGCTCAGCCAGCTACCCTGCCATAACTCTGCTCTGTGCTTAGCTGGGCATGAAGCTCTAGTTCAAATCTGCTGTTTTGGGCTTGTTCCAGCCCAGGGTTGGGGGCCAGTTTCAGTTCGTGTTTGGTTCCTCGCTCTGATGGGGCAGAACATCGTCACGAGGCTTTTGCAGAGCTTGCACAGCCTCTGCCCCACGCTGCTCGTGGGAGGTATTTGCTTCTCTTGAGTCTTTCCCAACCCAATGGCAGATATTTTCCCTTCACAACTAGAACACTTGCTGTGTGGGATCCTTCTCCGCAAACATTTTACTGTCCTTTGCCATAAACACCTCTGCCTGAGCCCGTTTGCCCCTCCAGTGGGGCAGCAATCAGGGTGCAGCGGTTCTGTAACCTCACACGTGCAGTGCTCATTCGTGTGTGCCTGGGCTGATGGGCTGTGACAGCTCCACGGGCACATGCCTGAGTGCTGCTGCACCCACCTTCTGCCCTCAGGGAGTCTCTGGGTGTACTTGGGGAGGGTGAAGAGGAAGAGGTGAAAGAAATTAACACCTTGCAAGCTTAAAATCTTTGGTGAAGGCTACAGTAGAACCCACAGTGGATCTCATGGCCTTGGGGGAGAGGAGGGGGCTATTTTAAAGGAGGCTGAAAACAAAACATGAAGGCTATTTTTACAAACTGCTGGTGCTCTGTGTGCTAGCTCTCTCCTGTCTTTGTGCAGTTGGACAGTGGGGTAAGCTTAGGGCTGGGATGTGGTGGGGAGCGTGGCAGCTCATCCTCAGGAGGGCAAGAGGAGATGGGGAGTTTGGCTGCTGTTGGGGAGGTGTTTTGCCAATTGACAGGGTCAACAGGAAGGACACAGACACCAAATTAAAAAGACAAGATTATTTTACTTTAAAGTGGCAGAAAGAATAAGCAGGATAACCTGATCATTACTACAAAAAGTTAGCTACAGTGATTAAGACACATCTCCAACTGCCCTCATACTTTACCATCATCTGGAGCTGTGCTTCGGCTGGGGAGCCCCATCACAGCGAAGGGTCAGAGAACCTCTCCTGGCACTTGGGAAGTCCTACACAGTGTGTCCACTCATAGGTGAGGTCTCCATCTTCACTGTGAGAGGGTCCTGCTTTTATACAGTTTAACAAATAAATCACATTAAAAAAGGTGCACGGAACCATCTGGTAGATTGGCTGCATTGCCCTCGGGTGCATCCCGGAGCTGGCCAGAATCCTGGTGAGTCCCAGGAATGCCTGTCTTCTACAAAACAGCTGGCTTAGGGTCCAAAAATATCTTCTTTATCTGTAGCTTTCAGAGGATATTAGCACGGTCATATTTCATGCTGATATGATGTTGGTTGGGAGGTTCACTCAGAAGTTAACTCTGGTTCAGGCTTTTCTGTCAGGAGGAGGGACCACAGTGAGGCTGGGGTGGCTGGCAGGTGACTTTGCGCCCCCTCTCCGCCCCTGCAGAATTCAGCCCTGACGCTGAGCAAGAAGCTGAAGCTGATGCGGGAGAACCCAGATCTCCTGGAGCTGTGCCACACCGTGCCCACGGAGGTCATCGCGGTGGGTGAGGTGACAGGACAGGGACAGGGAGGTTGTGCGTTCCCAGCAGCAGGAGGCTTGGGAGGGCACCCTGACACTATGGTCACTGCTTCCTCTCTACTTCTGTCCTTTCCCTCTATCCCTTCCCAGAGAAAAAGCTCTTTGAGCCAGATCATGCAGATAACTACGCTGCTTTCAAGAACTGGCTGCAGTGTTACCTGGTGCCTGGTATGAGCACCCTGCGCGACCGCAGTGGCAGGACCGTGTGGTTCCAGGTAGGAGCCTAGGGTCCCTTTCTGGGGCTGGGTGGCCACCAGCTGCTCCTTCAAGGTGACACAAACCCCTTTTCTGTTTCCTGCTGTGTCGCTGGGGGTTTCCCTCTGACAGACTGCTGTGACTGCTGGATGTGGAGGTGATGGGGACCCTCCGTGCAGTGGCCAGCTGGCCAGGGGATGGCAGGCAGTCTGGAGCAGAGGGGCTGATTGCAGGAATGGGAGGCTCAGATAGTCTGGCAGCCCTGTTTGTCCCTCCTGTGCCCCGTATCTGGGTGAGGCATCATGGTGGGGGCTGACAGGAGAGTCTGAGGCACAGGGCAGGCAGAGCAAGCTTGACTCCCCCAGATTTCTGTCACTGTCAGCTGTGGGGTGGAGAAGGGACACAGATTCTGCTGGTGCTACCTGCAGAATGACTATGCCCCAAGTCAACGCTCTTCACCTTCCTTGCAGGGGGACCCCGGCCCCATGGCTCCCAAAGGTGAGTATCTGCTCCTCCCCATGCAACCCGTTCTTGCTCTGGGAGGGCGGGAGCCTGGGAAGCCTTGTGCTTGCAAAGGCAGGAGCAAAGCCCCAGTCCCTGGGTGCTGAGGGGCCTGTGACAGCCAGTGGTGCTGGGGGACGGAGCCCGCTGTGCCCAAGGCTTCCTACCAACACAGCCTGCCTGGGCAGAGGCGTTGTGCCTCGCAGGGTGCTTTGCCAGGCCAGCACCCACACCTCCTCCTTTGCCTGCCAGGCTGGGAGCAGATGCTGTGCTCCCCCCGGGGCTGTGAGCCTGAATCCAGCAATGTTTTGGCAAGAGAGGGAATCTGGTGGGGAGGAGCCCCCTCAAGCCATTCCTCCCCCCTAGTGCCAATTCCTCAGTGCTCAGCTCACCTATCGTCTGGGACAGTGTCCCTCAAAGGTCACTGTGCTGCAGCCTGTCTCTCCCTTGAGGCGTGGGCACTCTGCCCTGTCTCACAATCACAGAATTTTCTCAGTTGGAAAAGCCCTTGAAGCTCCTCCAGTCCAACCATGAACCTCACCCTGACTGTTCCCAACTCCACCAGCTCCCTCAGCGCTGGGTCAGCCCGACTCTTCAACCCCTCCAGGGATGGGGACTCCCCCCCTGTCCTGGGCAGCCCATCCCAACGCCCAACAGCCCCTTCTGAAAAAAAATGCTTCCTAAGAGCCAGTCTGACCCTGCCCTGGCACAGCTTGAGGCCATTCCCTCTGGGCCTGGCGTTGGTTCCTTGGCTCAAGAGACTCATCCCCCCTCTCTGCACCCTCCTGTCAGGGAGCTGTAGAGGGCCAGGAGGTCTCCCCTCAGCCTCCTCTTCTCCAGACTAAACCCCCCCAGTTCCCTCAGCTGCTCCCCATCAGACCTGTGCTCCAGACCCTGCACCAGCTCCGTTGCCTTTCTCTGGACACACTCGAGTCATTCAATGGCCTTTTTGAGTGAGGGGCCCAAAACTGAACCAGTAATTGAGGTGCAGTCTCCTCACTCTGTGTAACCCAGGCATGTCTTCTCACAGGGCAGACGCCCCGCAAGAAGCGTACCCAGCTGAAGAAAGATCCCGAGGCTCTGACCCCCAAGGTAAGAAGCTCTGTGGCTGTGGTTCCTGCGGGGTCTGGAGGCTGTGTCCTGTCCCCATGCCTTGCTCAGCCTGCTCCCAAAGTCACAGTGATGCTCCTGACTGGAGTTACTCAGCATCTGCTGGTCCAAGCACACTTCTGCTGCTAAGCTCCGACTGATGTCCACACAGGTCAGCACGCGCACCTCAAAACGGCGCCCCAGGGCTGCAGCAAAACCCCTGAAGCCCGAGGAGGAGGATGAAGATAAGGCTGACAGACCGAGGAAGGGACGTGCTCGCCGGGGGAGGAAAGCGACCACTGCTCCAGCCTTGTCTGAGACGGAGGCACCACTCAAAGCCCGACGAAGCTGCCGGACATCTGCGCGCAGGGGCAGAGGTGAGGCTGGCAGTCCCTGTGGCTATCAGAGGCCTAGGCGGGGGCTCCCTTGTGCAAGGGGACTGAGGGGGTGCCAAAAGGCAGAAGAGCCAGCAGGGCTTCAACAGGGATGAACCAGGCACCCCCCCACCCTCTGACTTCTTTCCATCTGCCAGGCGCAGCCCCTGCCGTGTGAGTGCTGCCCGCTGCCCTCCCCATCGGCCTTTAACCAGCCGCAGGGCTGGGAGCCCCCCGGTCTGGGTTGGTGCTGGCAACAGGGGGGGGGCTTCTCTCTACCCGTGCTCATGCCCGCTTGCTACCGCTGCATCCTGTCCGTGCAGGCAGAAGCTGGGTGATGGGGCTGATTTATCCAGTGTCCTGCTGTCCCCAGGCATTTGAGGGGCATAAAGGCCATGGACCACATGTTGTGCTGGACTCTGACCTTTCCTTTGCCTAAAAGTAGATTCCCTCTTCCTTCCCCTCTTCCCTTTCTGGATCACTGCTGCCTGGATCACTGTTTTTAGCTGACTAATAAAGTATTTTGTGTAGAAATCACCATGCACACATTTTTGTGTTAAGGATAACCCCTCTGTGCCCAGCCTCTTCCTCAGATGGGCTGGAGCAGGTTTCCCCTCCCTCACCTCCCCCAAATAAAGGTAAGTTCTGCCTCTCCAGTACCACAAGTGAGATCCTGCTGTGGGAGCAGCAGCTGCACCAAAGCCCCTGGGGGGAAGCAGATCAGTAATCTTATCTGGCCATAAGAAAACAGGTTGGAGCTTGTTTTCCATAATTCTCCTTTACTTGTGTTCCCCTTCTTCCAGGGCAGTGCAAGAGGCAAGCGAGGGGAGAGGGGAGTGACTGTAGTGTGTGTACACTCGTTGCTAGGGTCTGGATGAGACACAGGAGCCACGGAGGAAAGCTGCTGCTCCCCAAATCCCCCTGTGCTGGAGCAGAGCTCGTGCAGGGCCAGCCAGCCTGTCCCTCAACCTGCCCCATGCTTCAGCTAGCTGGGAACTCACCGGGCCCTCCTGCCCTGGCCAGGCAGGGGGAAACTCTGCTCCTTTCCTGAAGAACGTGGTTTTCTCTAGTGCTGCTCTGATGGCTGGGTGGGGAGAAAAGAGGGAGACTGCCCTTCCCTGGCACCGCCACGTCCTTGCACAGCTCTGGGGACGGGGGAAGCCTCAGACTGCGACTGGAGGTCAATGTTGGTCCAGGTTGCTGCGGCATCAGGAAGGGCAGCGGACAGTGTCACTGCCTCAAGACCAAGAGGATGGAGAGCACACGGAAGGGTGTGAAGGAAAGCCTCAGGCCCCGCTGCTCCAGCGGCAGGCGGCCCTGGGCAGCCGGCCGCTCCAGGAGGTCGCAGCTGGGGAAGAAAGCAGCAGGTGAGGCCGAAGCGGCCGATCTCTGGCCCCATAGGCACCTGCAGCCCTCCAGCGCAGACTTACAGCACCGCCTCCTGAACGGGGAGGGAGGTCTGGAGCCAGGCGACAAGCGTGCTGCCGTGCGCCTCGTACAGCCGAACCACCACGGCTTCGGGTCTGTCCTCGGCCTGTGGGGAATGGGATCTCAGACAGAGGAGACAGGCACATCCTATCCTACAGCTTGGGGTACGGCCTGACCCAAGCGAGCACAGCCAAGCGGCTCTGCCGGGGTGCACACAAGTTCCCACCCCACCGCGGTGCAGTGCTGACGACCACACAGCACCTCTGTGGGGATGCAGATACGACCATGATCCCCTGTCCTCACCCAGCAGGACATGCACACCAGAGGGATGGCTGTTGTGCTGAGCTGGGCCTACCCTCCCCGCTTCTGCCCCGGGGACTTGCCTGCTTGACAGTCTCCAGCACAACTGCAGGGGAGCTGACGGAGAAGGCGCTCCAGGGCGGGCACCGTGCAGAGCTGGCCGGGACCACGTGGAGGGGGAAGTTCAAGTTATAGGCACACTGGATCACACCGGCGTCCTGGAAGGAACCTGCAACACAAAAACCTCTAGCCAGTCTCTACCCACACACAGCCGGAGACGTGCTCACCCCAAGGCTCACTGGAGCATCCTCTGCCCTCTGTGTCCCCACAGGGCCCACCTCTGTCCCCCACTCACCCAGGTGAGGCATCACGGCGTAGGTAAACTGGTGGTGCGTGATGTCTGCCATGGCATCGGGGGACTTGGGTGCTCTCAGCCTAAGGCAACACGAGGTAGGTGAGACTGGCAGCACCCTCTGCCACCCATTGCAGGGCCAGAGGAGCACTGTGTCAGGACAACTGCCACCCCCTGCTACCTTGAGGCTGGGACCTGAGGTGGAAGCCAACGCTGCTGATTTCTGGCAACAGCAAACAGACCCTGGACAGCCCCAGAAGCTAAAAAAAAAATCTGAGGGGTGTTTTCCTGTGAAACTTGTGGCTGATGGAGTCAAACTGAAATAGGTTGAGTTTCTCTTAGCTTTCTATGCTTCTGTAACATAGCTGTTCCTTCTCTCTCCTACCCTCCTGGGGTATGTTTTGGGCAGCAACAGAAAAATTACTTAGTGCAAATGTGGATCTAATCTCTCCTGAATTATCTATGAGCATAACTCATAGGAATTAGATTATTTTAGTCAATTGTAATTAAGTCAGCCAAAAATTCTCAGACAACAGCTATCCACTGAGACTAATACCAGATTATTGCCTTATTAGCTAGGATCATTTAGGACCAGGCGTTGCCTTGACTTCCAAGAGACACCTCAGAAGGCGAAGTGACTGCTGCAGCTCCATGCTCACCCCAGCCCTAACTCACAGTGAGAGGCTGAGGATGTTCCCATGGGCTGATGCCCCATATTTGCAGTCGTTCAGCAGTGCCACCCCAAAGCCGTGCTCGGAGAGATCCAGCCACTTGTGAGCCCACACCTGCAGGAGGTACCAAGGGATGTCTTCACCACGCAGAGCTACTGCCTGGGAACAAAAGCAGCCCCTGCACGGGAGGAGCAGCTGGGCCCCGGGACCAGGCTGCCTCTCCTCTCACCTCGAATCGAGCCCAGTCCCAGGACGTGTTCCAGTGCGTTGGCCGCTGCAGGTGTCCAAACTGGATCTCGTAGGTGGCGTTGGTGCTCCGGACCTGCACAGGGAACTCCACCTTCAGGAACTTGTGAGCCTCCTTCCACTCAACCTAAATGCAGAAGGACATCACCATGGGGGGGCTGCACTTATCCTTCCCCGGTGCGCAGCAGCCAGCTCACGCCCAGGCCAGAGCAGGTACAATAAAACTGCACTGGAGTCTGAACACAGATGAACAGGGTGGGTTTCTCTACCACCCTTGTCCCTCAGGACCCCCACCCTCACGCTGCCTTCCCCTAAGTCAGAGGACTAAGTTCCAGGGAAGGAAACAGGAAGGGGAACATAATTCAGACACAGGGTTCAGCTCCCCAGGGCCCTGCCTGCACAGCACAGATGTTCACATCGCGTGGCAGCCGCTGGCCAAACCTGGGTGAGGAAGCGGAGGTACGGGCACGTGGCATCCAGGATGATCTCCTGGGTTAAGGTGCTGCTTTCCCCGATCTGCAGAGAGAAGCTTGCGCTTCCCCGCAGGCCCCCAGCTAGGGTGATCTCCAGAGGCTTCAGCAGCGTTGTCACTGGCTTCCTAGAGAAAGGGATCAAGGCAGAGCTGGTCTCAGCCTGGTATATCCAGGTTCCCAAATCCCAACCCAGCCTCCCACACAGCAAGCACTCATTTCTCCAAAACAAACGCTCTGTTGCAGCTTTTGTTACAGCTGGGACTGGCAGGGAGGCATGAACCTCAGAGCACTGTCAAAAACCAAGTGCTGCATGCACTGCTCCTCTACCTGGTTTCCAGGTGATAATCCATCACATCCCAGGCATCCCAGTACAGGGGAACATCATCAAAGAGCGCAAACTGGTTGGCACAGCAGCCACCTGGAACTGACTCTCTGGAACACAGTGGAACAGAGAAAGAGCAGCATAAGAAGAACCAGCAGTGGAGAAGGGTGTACGTACAGTGAGAAGTTTGAGGAGCCCAGTTCCAGTGACTGGGTGACAGCCATACCTCTCGGAGTCCACCAGCCGAAGCGAGGTCAGGCGTCCCATCACGTCCAGGCAGACTGCAATCACCCCATTCTCCATGGCAATGGAGCCGTCCTCCTTGGGGAAAGGACAGAAGCAGATTTCACAGACCCACACCTGCAGGATTGGAGTGCCCCAGTTGCAAAGCTAGTGTGCAGCCTTGCTGTGTGCTGGATTCCGTAGTTTTTCCCCAATCAACCTTTGATGTAGGGTACACAGATCTGAGGACAACTGCTGTTGTGCTTACCTGCCTCCTCACTGCCACAGGCTGAGGGGGCAGCAATGGCTCCCTCACAGCATAGCCCATGCTGGGGACTGTCACCAGAGCTGGAAAGCAAAGAGGTTCTGTTCCAATGTCTGTCCCAGACCTAACCCCGAGTCACACTGTGCTGCTCTCACATCAGACCTACTACCTCTTTCAAACCCTCCTCTTCCTCAGCCACAATTCAGGGACAACTTGAAGTAGGATAAAGTCCAAAGGAGAAATCTGACATCAGTAAACCCTCCCCAGGGCAGAGAGAGGCAGAGTATTTCTTTGTTAGTTGTCTCTGCCCCTGTAAGAAATTCTGGTATGTGAGCTACCCCCAAGTTAGACATACCTAAAGTCTCTGTTCCGGCTGGCCCGGTCCTGGAGATCACCTCGGTCCGTTCCCAAGGCAAAGTGTTCAACACCAGGGTGCTCTCGGTGTTCCCTGCCTTGGGCTGCAGCAGTTCCCTGCATAAGGACTGCACAGCTTCCTCCTGCAGCCGAGCGCCAGCCCTGCGGATCTCTGAGCAACAGAAAGGCCTGAGCTGGATCCAGCCAGGCTGTTTCTCACATCTGAGAGTTTCTGGCACTCCCATGCGATGTACACACTTCAGCTACTTCCAAGCTACAATTACTCATTATCATTAATATTATCTATTAGTAAGTAATTAAAGTTTATCATTATTGTTAACTTTGTTATTACAAGATTACAATGAGCTATGCCAGCTCAACTGAAAAACTGCAGTGCCTGTGGGCCGGCAGGAGCAAACCTTTGCTAGGGTCTATGTCGGCATGCCAGCTCCAAGCAGAGAAGTCAGTAAATCAGGATGGTTTTTAATCCCTTGGCTCCCCTGCTAATTCCCTCTTGAGTGAGCACTTACAGACACATGCCTGCACAGGTTTGACCCACAGTGCCTGGCAGTCCAGGACTGAAACCTCTGCAGCCCCACCGAGCAGGTCCCAGAGTCCTCCAAAGGGTGAGTGTCCTCCCAGCCAAATGCCCTGCTCACCTGCGTAGTATTGCAGGGCGTCCTCAACCACCAGCTGAATACAGCTGCCTGGCAAAACATCATGGAATTGGTTGAGCAGCAACAACCTAAAACAGAGAACAGAAACCAGGTGAGAGCACTGGACTTGTGCTGGCTTACTGAGCCCTGTTTGCAAGATGGACAAACTTAGTAACCGTTCCTTAACCTCCTGTTAGCAAACACTGAGAGAAAAGGCTTTTTTTCTTTTCCATAGCGTCCTTTAAATCCCTTTATGTTAGGACTTGTCAACTGTCATCTTAGTAAACCATAACCATGGGGAGTAAGAGCTGGGGTTTTTTTATTCCTCAGGGCTACTAGATAAATTGTTGCACAAGTTCAGACAAGGCAAAACTGGCGAGAAACAAGCTTAGGTGAGAAAAGAAGCTTCCAGCCAGCAGAGCAGTGAGGCTTTGGAGCTGTCTTCTAGCGGGAGAATCAGGCAAAGCACTGAAACACTTTCCAGGTGGAGGCCTGATCAGTTTATGGAAGGGGTTGTGCACACACACCCCTGCAGCACTGTATCTGCAAAGGTCTCTACACCCTAACCATGCATTGCTCTCCCGCTCACTCCAGGCAGTTCAGATGCAGACAGGCTGTGGGCAGTCACCCTTCTGGCTCCAGCTGAATGGGGCTGAGAGATCAGTGACCATCTCCCACCATCAGCCCACCGAGCTGCCCAGTAACTGCCCACATCAGCACAGTCCAACTGGTCCAGGCTAATTTTGGTGCACTTATAGCAAGGATTTCTACCCAGAGTCAGGCAGGGACAGAGAGCTGTAGGGGATGGGCAGTGGTAACCCAAGAGCAGCCAGCTCTCATGCTGGAGTCCCCAACCTCACCACAGCCTCCGTGGTACCATCAGTGCTGCTGCACCTCACCTCCAGAGCCGCTGCAGCTGGCTAGCAGGATACTGGAACGCGCCACCCCGTGCCACAGCCAAGGTGCTGAGTACTTCGACATCATGGAGTATTCGCTCGCACTCCCGATTCCCTTTCTTTATCTGGTGTCAGAACAGGGAGAGAACGAAGATGCTTAGGAAACTGGTAGCTAAGAGTGGATCTTTCACATGAAGAGCAAAAAGCTCAGCTCCAGTGCAGGAAGCTTGTTATTTGTAGGTGTCACAATTTTGCCATTACCAGTGAGTTATTATTGGCCACATTTCAAACTGAATCTCCCAGCACAGGGCAGAGCTTCCCCTGTCTCTGTTCTCACCTTCCTCCCATTTTTCTGATTCTTCACCCAAGCTCTGCAACTATCTGCTAAAGTGAAGGACATGACAGCCGTTGACTAAGAGGGCCCTGCTGTCTCAGGCTTCCTTCTCACCCCCTGAAGAAAGTCTGACAATAAATCTGCCATTTGGAGTCCTGGCTACAAGGTGGCTCCCACTGTTGGGACCTAAAGGGCCCTGCCTGAAGCCTGGAGCCGCCTGGGCAGTAGCGAAGAGAACTGAGAATGGCCACCTTTGCTGTGGGGAAGGGGGACTACGGCCCCAGCCCGTGCGCAGTCACCTGGGCCTGGGTGGTGTATGTGCCGTTGTGCAGCTCGAGGAAGAGCTCTCCCACCCAGGTGCACAGCTGTGATGACTCCTTCTCCAGGGCAGAAAAGAGTCGGTCGGGAGTGGAGATCTGAACCCTGCAGGAGAGACACACAAACAGGGGAGAAACCAGTGTCATGGGCATCCCAGCCAGGCAGGTGACAGCCCCAGAACCAAGGCTTCAGAAACCCCAACTCAACCGTGCACTCTTACCCTCAACCTCCTCCTACCCCTCTGCCACTCCAGGTTGCTCTTGCTGCCTACCACAGAGACCTGGACAGTCCCCAGGCAGGGACTGACTGCCCAGCACCACTGCTGTGCTGGCCACTCACCCCACGGCTCAGCTGAGGGCTCGCAAGCAGTCCAGGGCTGTCCAACGGACCTGTTATTGCAGCTCTTGATGACTGGGAGACTCTGTCTCCCTAACAATCCTTCCCGGCCCTCTGCTTGCCCTGCTTGCTCCCTGCCCTCCTCTGCACACCTTTTCAGAGAGTCACAGACTGGTTTGGGTTGGAAGGGACCTTGAAAATCATCCAGTTCCACCCCCCTGCCCTGGGCAGGGACACCTTCCACTAGCCCTGGTTGCCCAAAGCCCCATCCAACCTGGCCTTGAACACTGCCAGGGAGGGGGCAGCCACAGCTCCTCTGGGCAACCTGTGCCACTGTCTCACCACCCTCACACGGAAGAATTTCTTCCTTCTATCTAATCTAAATCTCTTTCAGTTTAAAACCATTACCCCTACAGTCCCAGATAGAGTCCCTCCCCACCTTTCCTGTAGCCCCCTTTAAGTACTGGAAGGCCGCTCTAAGGTCTCCCTGGAGCCTTTTCTTTTCCAGCTGAACACCCCAACTCTCTCAGCCTGTCCCCATAAGGGAGGTGCTCCAGCCCCTGACCATCTTCATGGCCTCCTCTGGACCCACAGGCAGGTCCATGTTCTTATTTGGTGCCCCCAGAGCTGCACAGAGCACTGCAGCATGGGTGGGTGTGTGTCATAAAATCAGATAGGGGGGAGAGAATCCCCTCCCTGTACCTGCTGCCCACACCGCTCTGGGTGCAGCCCAGGGTACCGTTGGCTTTCTGGCTCACAGTCAGTTTTCCATCCAGTGATACCCCCAGGTCCTTCTCCCTGGGGCTGCTCTCAATCCACTCATGGCCCAGCCTGGATTGTGTTTGGGATTGCCCCGATCCATGGGCAGGACCTTACCCTTAGCCTTGCTGAACTCCATGAGGTTTGCACGTCCCACCTCTCCAGCCTGTCCAGGTCCCTCTGGATGGATCCCTTCCCTCCAGCTTGTCACCCCACCACACAGCTCGGTGCTGTCATTGAACTTGCTGAGGGTGCACTCGACCCCACTGTCCATGTCACCAACAAAGGTGTTAAACAGCACTGGCCCCGGTACTAAACCCTGAGGACCTCACTTGGCACTGCTGAGAGCTAGGCCTGGCTCAAAACAAGTGGTCCTGCAAGGAGAGAGAAAAGGAGCTCTCCCCACCTTGGCAGCCCATCCGTGTCAGTCATTCTCTTCATCCTGTCCAGCATTTTCTGTGTGGGGCCCCCTCCTCCATCTCCAAAGCCAAAGAGGAAAGCGCTGTGGTTCACACGTCCTTTGTCCTTGTTGTTCTTCACTGTTTTCAGCATCTAGAGGGATTTTTAGACAGCTGCAATCCCCTGGCATCCAGCCCCAGCTCCCACAGCTCCACAAAAAAAATCCAGGTCAGCCTTTAGGGTGCAAAGCCCAGTCCTGCTCCTCATCCCCAGCCCAAACTGCCAAAAGCAGGCACGGACACATCTCAGAGGCAGGCAATCAACTGCCAGGCACCCAAACAACCTTTGTCCAGCAACGCTGCCTGCTATCACGCTCCCTTCCCAGGCAGGGCACTCTCCTAGGTGCCTCAGGTCTGGCCCCAAGGGGCTGGCACTGCACTTCATGTGTGGGACTGGCAACCTCACTCACCTCCTCCACTCGCCCGTGCATCCCATAGGAGTCACCGGGGGGGAAATGGGTCAGCACTCGGGAACCATCAATGCCTTCCCAGAAGAAGGTGTGATGCTGGAAGGGAGCCAAAGGAAAGCGTCGTGTCTTGTACAGCCCCCCTGTACCACACAGTGCCAAAATGCTAAAACACAGCCCCACTGTTTCCAGAGTTCCCAAAAGGAAATCTCAGGTCATGCTGGTACCAGAAGGAGATAAAATTCACCCTTAGCTCAGTGTTTCAAGGCTCCCAAACTCATCTGCCACACAAATGTGTGTAAGGAGGGCACACTTCAACCACATCAGCACAAAACTTGTGCAGCAAAAGCCCAAGCTTCCTCACAAGCCCTGTCAAACACACAAAGCCCAGGACCTTGGTCACCAGGGAAGTGCACAGGGGACAGGCACTTCAGAGCCCCCTGAGGATTCAAACTGGGCCTTCACTTTCTCTCCATGGGGTTGCAGGATACCCTGACAGATCAGTGTCAATGAGACAGTTGCACAAGGATGCAGAATGCCGCAAGGGCAGGAGGCAGCAGAGAAGAGGCTGGGTTTGCTGTCTGTTAGACCTGCACGCAAGTCACAGCTTCCCATCTGGAAGCAGAAGGAATTTGTAGGCCAGGGGCCCAGCTGAGATCTCTAACCATGTCATTCCTCTCCCCCAGAGCCTGACAGGACACTGCTACCATCATAGACTGGTGGCTTCTGGAAGAAAAGCCTGTGTCAGCTGAGCTGAAGGACTGGCTCAGCCTGTGGAACCAACAGGTCCAGCCCTGCAGACAGAGTCCAGCAACCACAAGTCCATCCCCTGGGAAGAGGGGAAGCTCAGCTCACCGGGAAGGCATTCACCAAGTTCCAGCTGAGTTTCTGTGTGAGGAACCGCCTGATCCCACAGCCACGCATCAGCTGGGGCAGCTGGGCTGAGTATCCAAATGTGTCCGGCAGCCAGAACTGGGAGCGGAGGTGACGGCACCACAGGGAGAGAGACAGATGCAAGTCACACCAGCCACAAGTCACAGCCTGAGCTTGTGGAGGGTTTCTTGGTAGTCAGGCTCTCAGTCTTGCAGAGGGGACAGAAGATGTGCTAGACAAGGAGTAATTCTAGAGACCTGCCAGGGACCTACAAAGCAATATAACAAGGCCCGGGCCTGTGCTAAGTGCCACGATACACGGGGGAGTTAGATATTTGCTCATCATGGCTTTAGCTACAAAAAGGCCAACATGAGACACCTGAACACTGTATCTGGAGAACTAGAGAGAAACCCTCACGCGCAGCAAGGGGTGGAAGGAGATGCTGTGCAAGGAAGATGTGCTGGAAAAGAGCAAGTACCTCCGAGCAGATCCGTCCAAACTGCTCCTGGAAGAACCGCTGTCCCTGGAGGAACTGCCGCACCATGGACTCCCCGCTGGGCAGGTTCCCATCCTGGGGGGAAAGGGAACAACAGGAGGTCCTGTGAGCACTCCCTTCCTACCCGCTGTCATCCTGACCTGTCAGACCACGGGGAAGATCTGAGCAGAGCTCGGCAGAGGGCAAAAGGCAGAACAGGGCTCAGCCAGTCCAGAGCAAGGCTCATTTCTCAAGGAATGAAATGATTTAGGAGAGGGATGGTAGTTTTGCTAGGCTAGACACTGCAGACAGCTGCTGTTTTCCAGGCCCTGAGACCATCACCAACCAGACTGGCTCAGCAAAGGCTCTGCTCTCCCCCTCCAGTGCCAGGACCAGTCCCAGAGGGATGGTGCAGGGAGGGTTCTCACCATCTCCACCCAGGTGCCTCCAACAGGAACGAACTGCCCCTTCGCCACGAAGTCCTGAACCTGCGCGTAGAGCCCGGGGTACCAGCTCCTCACCCACTCGAACTGCTGTGCCTGCCAGAGCACAGAGACCAGCCTCAGCTCCCACCCCATGGCACCACACTGATGTCCCTCTTCTCTGCAACTGCACAGGACACTCCTGGTCACCCCCAGCCCCATCTCGCTTTGAGTCATGCTGGAGAAGCAACATGCCACGAGCAGGAGAGGTACCCAGAGGGAGCTCACTCACCTGGGAGCAGGCGAAGGTGAGTTCTGGATTGCACTCCATCAGACGGACCACCGTGACCCAGCTCCGAGCACACTTACGGATGGTCTCCTCGTACGGCCACAGCCAGGCTGCGGGGACAGGCACGGCCCCGCCACGGTTATTACTCAGCAGAAGCTCTTTTGGGAATGGGGCTGTGCTGCCTTTCACTGATCAGTCAGGGAAAATGCTAGTGCAAAATGCTGTCTTTTGGCTAAGTACCCGACAGCAACATAACCTGGGACCTCCAGCTCCCGCTTCTCCAGTTGCCTTTCTGTTGAGACTGACAGTCCTCCAGGGACTGGAAATTGAGGGGTGAAGTCCAACAGGTGGAAGACAGTGGTCTGTAATTCATCCCTCATTGCCAGCCCCATCAGTGCTCCAAATGGCACAGCCAGTCACGCGTTCCCCTGCCTTGGTGACAGACCAGCTGTACGGCAGCACAGAGGTCCCTTTCCCTTCCCTCAGGGGACAGTACCCAGTGCCTGGAGCCCCAGGGCAGCCAGCTCTCCTCTTGGGCAGCACGCCCCAGCCTCCAGGTCAGCAGAGAGGAAGTGCTGTGCTGCTCTCACCAGAGTCAATGTGGCAGTGACCCACAGCATGGATGGTGTGCTGGCTCTCGCCGTTCCTCTGGCTGAAGATGGCTGCAGCCAGGTCACGGGCAGCAGGAAAGGTGGAGGGATCCATAACGTCACACACGTTGACCATCTGGTTGGCAGTGTACAGTGCCTGGAAACTCCTCTGATTTTCCTCCCCGAGGAGCTGGGATTGGGAGTGATAACAGCTTGACTCTGAGCTCAGCACATCCTCTGGCAGAGCAGTTCTCTGTACCAGCTTGATGTCACCTCCCTCAGGGACAACCTGCTACCTCCTTCCAACATCTGACTCTGCCAGCACTGCCAGGTAAACACCATGTCCCGGCCTCACAGACACAACCTTAAGTCTTTACTCATGTGCTTTCTAAATCCAGGTTACAAACACACCTATTCCGGGGGGATCCGGTCTAACAGATCCTGCCAGAGAGGAGATGAAAAACACACCTGTGGCTTCTCTCTGTTCAGTTTTCTCCTACTCTAGACAATCTCGATTGTGCTAAAGCAGCAGCAGCAAACATTTGCTCCTCCAGGGCCTCCCGGTGGGAGGAGACAAGTCATGGAAAGGCAGGAGGAGGAGATAAAATGAAGCTGTGGAAGGAGATGGAAAGGGTGAGAGAAGGGAAGAAAAGGAGCTCCCAGACCTGGGCCATGTCCAGCAGTATTTCCAGATCCATCAGCAGTTCATAGACATCTCTGTTGAAGACAACCAGCTCGGCCTTGCTCAGTGTGAACCTCCTGTCAGGATCTGGAGGGGCAATCATACTGCCCTTGCCAGCCCCAAAGAGACCATTGCAGGCCAGCTCCACATACAGCGTCAGACTGTGAAGATCAAAAGGAAACCATCAGGGAGCAGATCACAAGCAGTCAACCAGGAAAAGGCTTGATTCTGTCAGGACTGGCCTCACCTGAATCACAGACAGAGCCCCTGCACGCTGGGTACTTCTCAGAGCACCAGGACTCAAAAGGATCTCACCTTGCCCGGCCTCTTGGCTTCAAACTCCACCAAGCTCCCCCGTGGCGGGGGGCTCCAGCCTAGGCTGACTACCCACCTGTGGGGCTCTGGCTCTTTCATGCTGCGCGTCAGGATGTAGCTGGTCTTCTCACCCTCCTTAGTCAAACCCTGCAGGGGAAGATGGCACATTTAACACACGTCTTCTTCACAGGTCCGTGACAGAGGGCTGGATGGGCAGGACAAGACAAGGATGGCAGGGCCTGGTCCCACGTCTGGTGGGACAATGTTTCCCACAAGAACAACCGGCAGGGAAACTGCTGCTGCCCCAACAGTAACACAAACACTGCAGACACCACCACAGAGCAGGGCAGGGCTGCAAAAGGTCACCCGAGCCATTCCAGCACCCAAAGCAGGATGGAAGTTGACACTGTGGAGAACTTCGCAGAGTAGGGCTGATGGCTGGACTCGATGACCCCAAGGGTCTTTTCCAACCTGAATGATTCTGTGATTCTATGTGTGACAAGTCTGTCCCACTGTTCTTGATGGCAGTGGAGATTCGCATCTCAGGCCCAATACTTGTCTACCTTTCCTCCAAGACAGATTTGCTAACTCCTAAGCAAGGGATTTTCAGCTGCTACTGGTTTCCACACCAGAATTTTAACTCCTGGTAGGGGTAACCTCTAGAAAACAGACTCAACCCCCCCACCAGCAGACCTGCCTTTCTGGGCTGAAGTTTAGAAACAGCCCACAGACCCTCTGCGATCTGACAGCACAGCATGCAAACCAAAAGAGTAGTCCTCTCCCACCCCACGCATCAGACTCTGCACAAACACTGCCCTTCCCTGCATGGCAGCTCTTCCTGTATTTAAAAAGAACTCTCCTATTGCTTCAGAGATTACCACTTGAGGCTAAACAACTCTACAACTACATATCCTCCTCCTGTTTTTCTTCGTGACCACTCTGTCTAGATCTCCAATTGTTCTTGGTTCTTTCCTGTTGGTCTATGTGTTATTTTACACTCCCCAAGACAGGTAGGCATTCCTCTGAAGAGTGAATAACAGATGGGGGGGAGGGTTCTTCTACTGCCCCAGTGCAGAGAGGCAAGGCTGGTAACCACTCTGTACGTAGCAGAGCACCTGGCAGAGCCGGCACATCCCTGATCTACGCCTCCTTACCTGGACAGGCTGCGCATCTCGCCACACCATGCCCTCGCCATCGCTCTCCCAGACGAAGTGCACTTCCCGCCCTGCCCATGCCGGGGGGATGCTCAGCTCCACCTTAAACCAGCACGTCTCCCACCTGGAAGAGAGCAGGCAGCAACCTCAGCCCACGGGGAGACCTTCTCCCAAGGGAAACCACACTTCCCCAGAGCCTCCATGGAAAAAGCAGAATAGGGACAGCACCCAAGTTTGATGGGATTCAACTGTAACGATGCTACCTGTCTGTACAGACCTACCCTGTGCCTCCGGACACGGCGTAGTCAGGAGATGGCTCCCTGTGTGGCTGCCTGTGACACACCTTCAGTTTAAGCAGCACACAGTGCCTGCACGTGCCAGCCTTGTTCTGGGTCTTTTAAATGCACTGGGCTTTCCCTTCACTGGGAGCCGCTGACCTGACCTGTCGCTCTTTCACCAAGTGAAACTTGTAAGTCGTGGCATCCACTATTGTCCATTGTTGTTGAGGGTTAGCGATTTGACAGTGAGTTAAAAGCCAAGCTGAGCAGGCTGATGTGCTCTTTCAAGCTGATGGGGACTGGAAAACTGTTCCTGAAGCACCCACAGCCACCCTGAGACAGTGAAACCAGGGGGTACTAGGAACTGAATTATGCCTGGGACAGGGCCTGACCTGTGACCCTTCTTATCGTGCTCTTAACCCCCAGGGAAGGCTAGTGCCCAGGCTGCAAGGAGTCATGGCAGTACCAGCAGGTGAGGAAGCTCAGAGGGCAACACACAAACTCTGTGGTGCTGGCCCAGCACAGCCTCTTCTGGGCCCTCAGAGGAACAGACAGGAGCATCGTGTCTCTGACCACTGCTGGGAAAAAAGCGTAATCTTCTCCCAGCCCTGAAAAAGCGTACAGGTCCCACGCAGAAGCATCAGGACAATAACCATGTCTACGAACACAAACTCTCAGCACAAGGGATCAATGAACCCAGCTCTACACTCCTCTCCTTGGAAATGAGACACCTTGGTCTGTTTCTTCATGAAATCTCCCTAAGGGCTTCTAGGCAGACACCTTCTACCTAAAGTACACAGCGCGGAAGAGGATTATCATCTCATTTCTTCGCCACTGAGAGCTCGCGAGGCTTCACACACACAAATACCTTTGAGATGCGAGCTCCAGCCCCACTGCAGTCACTGCACCGCAGGAATCTGGTACTCACGTGGGCCCAAAGGAGTCTCCCACTTTAGCTGGTCTGAATTCCTGCCCAATGGCCTCGCTGTAGGGGATGCGCCGCGGAGTCTGGAAACAGGAGAGCGATATCGGTGGACAGCGATCCCCAAAAAGCCTGCGGTTGGAGGGGGCCAGGACACGATTAATAAGGCCAGCCCTGTGGAGAGCAGCCCAGGGGTGGGGACAGGGAGCACCCCGCTTCCCCAGCATGGCTGTACCACCCAGCTATCGCTTAATACCCTCAGAGGGTTAACTGAACAACACAGTCATAATTTGCTGCGTTGAAGGGGCCTGTTGGAGCCGGGCCTCCAGCAGCATCCCCCCCAGAGGGTTGGGGGGCAGAGACCACGGTGCCAACGGCACCCAGAGCTCCAGGCTGGCCAGGGGTGGGAGTGTGTGGGGATTTATTCACTGAGCCCCACCGAGCCCCTGCAGCGCTGGGCGGCAGCGGCCCGGGGGGAGCAGAGTCCCCTAAGGGACTGGAGAGGGAAATGAAGGACACAGAGCCACGCACACACAGAGCCACAGACACACACGCAGACGCGCGCACACGCAGACGCGC